CTGTGTTTCCTTCAATTTCACACAGCTTTGGGTAATGAAGGCCATAAAATTCAAGCAAAGTATAAACATAAACACTGCCCCCTCCCTCCCCCACAGATGTACAGGGACTCCAATCTGTAGGTGATGAAATCTAACAAAGATGTAAGGTTAGAGGGAGAGGGAGAGAGAGAGCCTGAGTGGAGTGGATCTGAAGTCATTAGGAACTATCTGTGGGTGACTGAAGATTGAGGAGAGGGAAATGAAATCCCCATAAATTTTTCTGCATTGAGCATGTGAAGGAACCAATACAATGAGAGAGTGTCGTGAAGCTCAGCCAATGGCTCAGAGATCTATAGGCAGAAACCACTGATTCTAAAGTAGAAACACCTTGTAATTAAGTTGTAAATGGCACATTTGGCCTACCCACCATAGAACTTCTCCATCACACCCAAGATTCCAAGTGTTTTAAACAAGAAAAATATTAGAGGCTGAGGCTGAACATCATAGGCTTGATAGGATTATGAATAACACCTGCTTAAGACAGACTCAGGAAACCTACTTGCCAATCCTAGCCCTGCCGCTGATCACCTGTCATGCTCTTTTTGCACTTGTAAAATGGGTACATAAAGCTTGACTTTGTATATTTCATCAAGTTGTTGCTAAGATACGTGAAGCATGTCTTCTGGGCCAGAAGGCATTGTAAATTCATGCATTAGGTCCTGATCTACTCTGAATAAATGCTAGACAAGGCTTTAAAAGAGAAAAATAAAACAGACACAACCCTCATTCTAAAACAAGGTCAACTTCTGCATGAATCAGAAACACGAAGCAGGAAACAAAGCAGGATATGTGCTCCCCCCACCTGAAAAATATATTTCGAGCTAACAGAAAGCTCCAGGCCTGGGGAAGAGAGAGAGAGCAGACCTAGCTGCCTGCTGCTGCCTGCTAGAGCGAGTGCCTGGATAGATGCTATCTTCAACCTCCCCAAAGGATGGGGCCCTGAGTTGCCAATAGAAGGCAGACTTCTGGAGTAAGAACCCAAGGGGTTGAATTGAGACATCTACAAAATACAGGGAGGGACAACATTCGAGAGGGAAACAAAACCCTTCTACTCGAGATGCACCTACAAATCAAACTTCTAAAACACAGAAGGAAACCGAAATCTAAGGGAGTTAGCCAACAACATAAAAATCAAGAGATTAATTCATTCCTGAAAATGAGTGAACTGTTATTTCACTGGTGCCTATTATTCAAGTGGACCTATCTGAAAGTAACTATGCAAGTATATTTAAGGACTTCCAAGAAGTAGAGAAAGGGCTGGCATCCATAAAAAAGAACAAAAGGTCGTAAGACAGAATGGAAGGAATAATAATAATAATAACTTAACATAATAATGACAAAACAATAATAAACCTATACAGAATACATGGATTAATAGAAATCCCAAAAATGACTTCTGGTTTCAGGTCTGACATGAAAAGAGCTTGGAAGTCATCACTCCTGTTCTTACAATAATAAAAAGCTGAACAAATTGAAAATCAATGGCTTTTTTTTTTTTGAGGAAGATTAGCCCTGAGCTAACTACTGCCAATCTTCCTCCTTTTTGCTGAGGAAGACTGGCCCTGAGCTAACATCCATGCCCATCTTCCTCTACTTCATATGTGGGATGCCTACCTCAGCATGGCTTGCCAAGTGGTGCCATGTCTGCACCTGGGATCCGAACTGGCAAACCCCGGGCCCCTGGGCTGCCAAGGAGCAGAACGTGCGAACTTAACAGCTGCACCACTGGGCCGGCCCCGAAAATCAACAGCTTTTTATGAAGCTATCTGAGAACTAGAGGGACAGGTGAATTCAGAGTCACAGCTAAAGATCTGATTGTCTGAAGCAGAAGATGCTGGAACCGTAACTTGGTGTGAATACTTAAAATAGCAATTTTGATGAATTCCTGGAGACTAAGCCAGGACTAGCATGAGAGTGAGAAACTCCTGGGGATCCAGTCTTGGGAGGAACCCCACACTTTCATGGATTTTTCCTCCAGGAACCCCACCAGGTGTTTACAGTCATCATCTGGGAAAGATCCCTCTGTGGCTCTGGCAGGAGGGAGAAGAGAGTAATCCCTGTGAAATACATGCAGAACTTTTTCCATTACAAAGGCCTACTTTCCACAGGAAAGAATTTATCAGAGTCTTATGCAGCTGGGAGGAGGGCATTTCTCTTGTTTCACCCTCTTCTAGCCCTCCTATTTCATCTAAGAGGGGAAAAAATGCTGAGAAACAATTGTGAAGGTCTCAGCCCAGGGACACAGGCCCTCTAAAAGACAATTTAACTAAACAAGATTGTAGAACTCTTTCTCTCCCCCTCACCTTCCTGCCACACCCACAGGGCTCCAGTATAATACCAGTGGATTACTGTTGAAAGAGCTGTGTCATGAAGACTCAGAGGAGGGGTTCTTAAGGAAAACAAAAAGATGGACGGTAAAAACAAGGATACTAGGATAATCTGAAACCTCTCCACTCTGCAGCTACAGGAAACATTAAATATAGCCCAATTCCTAGCCAGATTAATACAAAATATCACAACCAAGGCCTATTTACCTTAGTTCCCATTATCTGATACACCATGCCCATCTTTTGACAAAAAATTGCAAGATATGGTAAATGGTAAGAAAAAACACAGTCTGAAGAGACAAAGCAATCATCAGAAGCAGACTTGGATGTGACACAGATATTGGAATTATTAGACAGAGAATTTTAAATCACTATGACTAACATGTTGAAGGCTATAATGGAAAAAAAAAAAAAACCCCATAAAAGAACAGATGAGTGGTATAAGCAGAGAGATGGAAACTTGAAGAAAGAATCAAAAACAAATCCTGGAAATCAAAAACATTATAACAGAAATGAAGGATGCCTTTGAGGGCTCATCAGTAGTTTGGAGAAGGCTGAGGAAGGAATCAGTGAGCCTGGAGAATGGCCAATAGAAGTGCTCCAAACTGAAAAGCAAAGAGAAAAAGAGAATGAAAGAAAGAAACAAACAAAAACCAGAACATTCAAGCACTTTGGGACAATTTCAAAATGCATCACATATGCGTGATTGGAATATCAGAAAGAAAATGGAGAAGAAATATTAAGTAAAAATGGACAAGAACTTTCTGAAATTAATGATATATCAAACTAAAGGTCTAAGAAACTCAGAGATCACTGAGCAGGATAAGTACCAAAAGGTCAACACTTAGGTGTAGTTTATTTAAACTGCAGAAAACCAAAAATAAAGAGAAATTCTTGAAAAAAGTCAGAGGAAAATACCTTACCTACAGAGGACCAAGGAAAGCAATTACAGCAAACTTCTTGTCATAAGCCATGTAAAGGAGAAGAGAATGAAGTGAAATATTTAAAGCACTGAAAGAAAACGAAACTCACCAACCTAGAGTTTTACATCCAGTGAAATTATCCTTCAAAAGTGAAGGGGAAATAAATATTTTTCCCAGACAAACAAAAACTGAGGGAATTCATCACCAGCAGACCTGCCCTGAAAGAAATGTTAAAAGTTCTTTGAGGGGCCAACCTGGGTTGCCTAGTGGTTAAGTTCAGCATGCTCTGCTTCAGCGGCCCGGGTGTGATTCCTGGGTGCAGACCTACACCACTCCCTTAGCTGCCATGCTGTGCCGGCAGCCCACATACTAAAATATAGAGGAAGATTGGCATGGATGTTTGCTCAGGGCAAATCTTCCTCAGCCAAAAGAGAAAAAAACGTTCTTTGGGGAAAAGGAAAATTATATAGGTCAGAATCTCACATCTACATGAAGACATGAAGAATGTCAGAGAAGGAATACATGAAGATAAAATAAAATATTTGATTTTTATTATTCTTAATGAATCTAAAAGATAACCTTATTTAAAGTAACAGTAGACATGCATTGGATAATTATAACATATGGATAAATGAAATGAATTAGGGCAATATCATAAGGGGTGGGAGGGAGGAATTGAGAGTACTCTATTATAAGGCAGCTGCACTACACGTAAGGCAGTAGTGTTACTTGAAGATGGACTTACATTAGTTTAAAAATTATATTGCAAACTCTACAGCAGCCACTAAAAAATTTTTTAAAGCAAATATAATTGATATGCTGAGAAAAGAGACAATATAGAATCATATAAACTGCTCAATTAAAGCCAGAGAAGGCAGAAAAAGAGGAGGAAAAAAATGAACAAATGTAACAAATAGGAAACGGTTACAAACATGGTTGGTATTAATCCAACTATATCAATAATCACTCTAAATGTGAATGATCTAAATACACTATTTAAAAGATAGAGATCATCAGAACAGATTAAGAAAAAACAAAACTTAACTGTGTATTGTCTACAAGAAATCCTAGGGGGAAAATGCAATGAAAAAATTCAATGGATGGAATAAACTCCAGCTTGTTCACAATCAAAAGGGGTATTTAGAAGATAAAATTAAAGACTAGCATGCAGTGCAGAGATTTAAAGATAAAAAGTGCAGTTTAGATACACAAAGTCTCGATTGAGAGGCTCCAACATATTTTGAATAGGAGTTTCAGAAGAGGCTGGAGGAAATGTGGAGGCACAATATGGAAATGTGGAGGTAATGGCTGAGAATGTCTTAGGACTGAAAAAAGGATGTGAGACCTCAGGAACACCAAGGGCATAGCTGGACAGATGAAAACAAATCCACGCCTGCACTCACTGAAGAGAAACTGCAAAACATAGAGAGGTAACCTTAAAAGCTCCCAGAAAGACAAGACAGATTCTTTTTCTCATTAGCAGCAAGAGATACCAGGAGGCGAGGGAATCAAGCTTCAAATTGCAGGCATTGCGTCTGTAAATTAGAATTAGGTTCAGCTCCAAGTAACAGAACTACCAAAAATAGCAGCAACTTAAACAAGAGGAAAGTTTATTTCCCCCTTATAGCAAAGTCAAGAAGAGAATATTCAAGACTACTATGGTGGCTCTCCTCCTTGCTCCTTAAGGATCCAGGCTCCTTCTATCTTTCAGATCTGTGGTCCCCAGGATGTGTCCCTTGTCTCACAGCCCAAGAAGGCATCTCAGCCATCAGAACCATGTTCTCAGCAGCTAGATGGAGAAAGAGGTAAAGGAGAAGCAAAAGGCACCCTTGAGCTGTCTGTTGAGGAGGGTTCCGGAAGTGGCTTTACGACACTTCCATCTACATCCATTGGCTAGAACTTAGGAACAGGACAACACCTAAAGAGGCTGGAAAATGCGGTCTTCATTTTGTTGTGCCCAGTTAAAAATTCTATTTCTATGGAAGAAGCAGACAATAGATGTTGGGGGACAAGTAGCAATTCTTGCCATATTATGTATGAAAGCTGTCTGAGGTTTTTGGGTTTTTTTTAAAAAAAAGACATTTTAATTCCAAGACTCAGAACTATAGCGATATTTAAAACAACAAAAGCTAACAAAGAAAGTAACTGAGATCTGGTAAGACTGGGGGATCCAGGGGTAGCTTAGTGTCTGTAGCTGCTCTCACAGTCTTAGAGCAGGGCTTTTCAACCTGGGGATTCATGGATGGATGTTAGGGGTCTGTCAACCTTCTACAATTCTACACAGACTTTGAGGTTTTTGTGCGGTTTCCTGGGAGATGCTTCAGGGTTTTTGACAGGTTCTCAGAGGTGTCTATGACCCCCCCACCCCCCTGCCTAGGGGATAAAATTAACTTTGAAAAATCAGTTTAGGTTGAATCTTAAGAATTCTACTTAAATGTTTATGTACCATTGAAGAATGAAAGCAAATTGGTCTAACTAAGTCCTGTAATATGAAAACTGCACATAATTAAATGGTGCAGCAAGTGTTCGTGATGAGAAATTCTGCCCGATAGCCTTTGGTCTGCACCACTCATCGGGTACATAAACTATTCCATTCTTAGTTATCTTTTTGCATCTTGCTTGCTAAGTAAATCGGATCCCCTTTCAGCCAGGACTTTGTTTGTCATACATCCTTGTATGATGTCAGCCACAGTTCTTTGCCCACAGCAAGCATCCTACTAGTCGCTAGATATCCGTTTAATCATTCCCTGGTAACTACCTGTCTGGTTTGCCCTTACCCTTTTCCTGCTGCCTAGAGGAGAGACCATTTTGGTGATATAAAGCTATTATTGTCCTTTTAATTTTTATCTTTGTTTTCTGCTTCCTAACCTTTCTCTGAAATTAGGTTGCATAGATGATATACTCCTCTTCATCGAAAGGATAACGAGCTTGAGCTTTGAAAATGTTAATTACCCAAGTTTGGTAACAAGCCTCTAGTAGCCACAGGTTGATAGAAGCCAGATTTCTTAATTCCCTCTCCTCGTCTTGTCCACATAACCACACACTTTTTGCAGGGGATGAAGGAAAAGACATCACTCCAGCTGTTCAGACACCATACCCAGGCTTTGCACCCAGCGAGCTTCCCCAGGCCTCTTCTACTATCATGTTCTAGGCTGAGGAATAAGAAGAAGATTTTATCAATAGCGTACAACCAGAGGACCTCACACTTTCAAGGGCTCAATGAGCATCCCCACAGCAATCACGTAGGAAGACACAGCCACTCTCATCAGCTCCTTTTTGGTGAATAAAGCAGTAATCCCAAACTTGCTAACATTTATTAAGCTGTTTTTATTATTGTTGCTTTTAAAGCGCATCTACTATGTGTCAGGACTGTCCTAAGTATTTTGCATGGCGCTAGTCTTCCACGTTCCCCAAGGAGTTTTATGTTGCTAATATTTTTATCCTCATTTTATAGATGAGGAAACCAAGGCACAGACAGGTAAAGTAACTTGTCCAGTGTCACACAGTTAGTAAGTGAAGGAGGTAGATAGGCAGTCTGGCTCCAGGCTCTTGAGCTCTCAATCACTGCTTCTCACTGCACACAGGACGGGCACCAAAAAGCCACAGGCGTTATCAAGTTTGTGAGATTTTCAGTGTGGTGTAGTGTTTAAGAACACTCGCTCTGGAGTCTCATAAAGCTGTTTTAATTTCAGGTCCACTAGCACTAACTCAGGTAAATTATTTAAACCTGGTTTAATGAATCATTTAAACTCTCTAAGCTAATTCTCGTCTGCAAAGTCTCCATCCTAGTAGTTCTCTCACAGGATTGCTGCATGGATTAAGAGTGAATTGCTTTACTCAATGTCTGGCACAAAGCATGGGCTCGGTACACACACGCAATAATAAAGGGACGTGTGGATGTAAATGGGAGACCTGAGACTCCAAATTATTTGACTCTTATTCAATCACATTTTACCATTAGAGAAAATATGCCAAAGAGAGTTGCCAAATCAAAAGACGTAAGTAATGAGGGGAGACAGGGAGCAGGAAAAAGTTGGATTCTAGAATCCAGCTTTGGCACATGGGACTTCCTGTTTAATACCCTCACACAGCACGTGAGAATGGGCCGAGCTGTAAGCAGCCGTCCAAATGCAGCCATTGGAAATGCTCCGGTCTCATTTTGAAATGGCTCAAAATGTTTCATGAAGGAGCCTGAGTGCAGGGAGAAGAAAACGACCCACACAGGTGACTCCCCACTCCATACGCAGAAGAGTAAGAGGGAAAGTTTAAAGAAATAGGGAGGGAGGAAGATCTTGGAACCATGACTATTGTCTAATTCATCAGGAAGACAAAGCTCAAATCCAGAAGAAGAATATTTAGGATTGGAAAATTAAATGAAACTTTGCACATTAGACCTCATTAATGACACTTAAGACGAAGTTAAGAAGACTCAGGTGTGAAAGGTGATATTGCCTAGTAATAAATGTATTGATTATAGACTGCTTAATAATTGAAAAAGGGTATTCCAGGTAAGGCCTGGCAATTTCAAGATATTCTAGAAATAAGATGTTAAAAATTTGCAAGTCGTAGAGTACAATAAATATGAGATCACTCCAGATGTCTTTGTTCATCATTTTAGGGAAAGAAAATAAGCCTGGTAGTGGAAAATTCTGTCGGGTGCTTTTAAATTGCCATTCCAGCTTCTTCCCTGGAGCCTAGTAAGGTCCATGCATTCATCCACCAAGTCCGGGTTGTTAAAGAATCATTGCAAAACGGCAGAGAGTAATTAATATGGCAGAGACTCATCAAGCTGTCTCTGGAAGGTCAAATGCGTGATGCACAGAATACAATTAGAAGGTTAAACTGGTCTGTCAACTTTTACATTATTAGCTGTGTATAGGTGTCAATATCTTTCAAGAATATGGGCCCAAGAATGAAATTTCTAAGGAGCTGGCAGAATTGTTGAACCTTTTGCATTTGCTTTAATCACGTAAGGCAACACATTTTAAAATCCCTTAAAAATATATGTCATTTTTAAACCAACATTCATGCATAGACTAGAGTAAATTCTCTAGTCAGTAATAAATGAAACAAACAAATATATCCACTAAATTGAAATCTCTAGTTCCATTCTGGCCAGATTAAAGTGTAACGAACAAAATTTTCTGATCTCTGCTCCCAAATCATATCAGACCTTTGGAAAAAAATGTCACTTTCACAATAAAGCAATTTGTTATGAGAGAAGAGTGTAGAAGAGAAGTGGAGCATCTAAGACTTTGCTATGACATCCTAAATTCTGAAAATTTTAAAACTAAATTAATAAGTGTACAGTAATTATTCAATCAGAATTTTTCTTTTTTGAGCAAGATTAGCCCTGAGCTAGCATCTGCTGCCAATCCTCTTTTTGCTGCAGAAGACTGAGCTAACATCCATACCCATCTTCCACTACTTTATATGTGGGACGTCTGCCACAGCATGGCTTGCCGAGCAGTGCGTAGATCTGCACCCGGGATCCGAACCAGTGAACCCTGGGCTGCCAAAGTGGAACGTGTGAACTTAACTGCTGTGCCACTGGGCCAGCTGCCCACTCAGAATTTTTTAAAGAAAAGAAATCTCTAAAGTGCATATATGGATATGTGGGTCAGGATATAGGGTCAGGAAGAATTTGAGGACATAGCTGGAAAGAGAGAGCTAGCTTAAGTATATAAGTTTTTGGAGAATGGTGCATAGAAAGAGAGAGAAGAAGGAAGAGCTTCTTGTCACACTCTGCATTCTTGTGGCCAAAGGGCCCTCTGACCAATTATGACCACTCCCATCCCTCACTGGTTTATTGAACACCAGTTATATGCTAGATACTGTTTCAAGCATTTGAAATACATGATCTCATTTCATTAACAAAACAACCCTAGGAGAGGTAGGTATTGCCCCATTTTGTTGAGTGAGAAACTGAAGCTCATATGGGTTATCTAACTTGCTCAAGGTGACCCAGCCAATAGCTAGGCTCCGAAGCCTTTGCTTCTAACACCACATCCAGCTCTTTTCCAGACACCGAATGGCCCTCTGTCTTTGATAAGAGAGACTCTAACCACGTGATTGGGGACTAGCTTCCTCATGATCTCTTTATAACCTAACTGACTTTGGGTGACTTTGACATCTCTAAAATGCCACAGGACACCTCTTCAGATTTCCCCATCTCTCCTTTTTCTGGTTGGCCTTTTGCCTAAACTGCTAAAGGAAACCGGATAAAACAACGTAGAACAAAACAAAACTGGGCTTTATTTATTCAATTAAAATATGGGCCTCTCAATGCAATGGGTGCCTCGAGATTTTATACCAATAACATGAAAATCCCATGACTCTCTTTCTTAAATCTATGTTCCTGTTTAATTTTCACCATGACTGTTGTCCTGGCAGGAGAAGATTCCACTGGCTCTGCTTTGCCAATTGTCAGAGGGTCTATTTTGAGGTTCATATTCCTGAGACCCTTGTGTACATCCTGTTCTGACTCATAAAACACGATGAGGAATTTACAACACTGATTTCTGCCATAGGAATAAAAGTAGCCGCATAATTCCATGTATGCAGAGGGTTTTTTTCCCAATTACTTCTTCATTAAACTGCTCATGTCATAGCAGGAGGGCATGCTGATGTCACTGTGCCTCAAAACCTTAACGAAATGGTGAGCTGGGTAGCTTGCCTCTGCCCCTTCTCCCTGTACTGGGCCCTGGCAGGCTGGCCCCTGCAGACTGCACCTGCTGGCTGCCTTGCTGTAGGGTTGGGTTTGGTCAGTGGGCAGGAGGAGAGTTGCAGTTGGCACGTCTGTTCCCCTGTCTCTCTCTCTGTGGGTTCACTGTGGGTTTCCGTGTCCCTCCAAGAATCCACTGCTCCTATCACGTGGCCCTCTCCACAGAGCTCTCTCCAGTTCTCTTAACTCTTCTCTTTAGGTCTAGAGAGGATGGCTCCATGCTGGTGCCAGCCCTGGGCTACTGCACCATCTCTGTGTGTCTTCCTAAACTCTACTCCTGTCTTGGTAAACAGTCCCTTTATTAAATTCTCCTAAATACCTATTTGGAGTGGGCCATCTCTTGCTGTTTTCTGCACCCCAGTGAATGCAGATGGGCGTTCACGTGACTCAAGATTTTCCTTGTGTGAAGATGATTGCTTGCTTAACCAAATGACATTGTTAGAGACTAAGTCCTACCTGTGCACTGCATTGCTTGTGGTTTTGCCACAACCAAGCTTTCCCCTTATGTGGGAAGAAAACACTTCAGTAAATGCATCAGGTTGTCACGTAGATGAAATGATGCCTAAGTATCTTCAGAATGAGGTTGATCTGGAGTGAGATTGGCCCACTGAAGCCATCTGAGCCCTCAGTATAACTCCATTTAAAAGCAAAAATAAAACAAACAGAAACATAACCTTGTCACTGGAGAGGTAGATATGATTGTCCCATCAAGTTTCTTGGAGGAAACAAGAACATTTTTCTGGAGACTGTCCAGAGCCTCTGGTTTTTCAAATTGGTTTTTCTATCCCTTGCATACACCCTAAAGATGGGATCCCTTCCTAATATTTATTACTAATCTGTCTGAGGATGAGGTGAGACCATTTCAGAACTTTCAGTTCAGGTGGGACATCAATCAGACCACATACTTACCTTCAAGGAATGGAAGCATGGCTGCTTTGGGCAGGGCCCGGGGCTGAAGTGGGGTTTACTCTCCTCTGTATTACAGGCCAACCAAGCCATCTGCCCTTTCCCGTGATCCAGGAGGACAAGCCATAGAAAGAAAGAAAGGAAGGTTTTGGTTTTATTCTTTCTACATGAAGAGGAAGAAGATTAGAAAGTAGGAAAAGTTGACCTCAAAGTCAACTTACAACCATGTTATATTTGACTTCTGGAAAGTCATGTAGCATCCATGGGCCTTCGCTTCCTTTTCTGTAGAATGGGATGACTGAACCACCCTACTGTGTGCCAGTGCTAATGAGATGGTGTGAATGGAACATAGTATAGCCCTCCGGTGCAGGACACAGTGACTCTGAGACTGGACTCAGCCGGGCTGCCTTGGCTTGACTCCCAGACCTTGGGAAGCCTGCCCTCGGCGTCAATTTCCTAAACTGAAAATTGGGATAATATCAGTACCTTCCTCAGAGATTAAATGAGTCAATATGTGTAAAATGCTTAGAAGGATCCCTGATCCATGGAGAGTGCTAAATGGTAGCTGGTATTACTGATGCCAAGGGGAGTAATGGTGGGGATCCCTCACACGACCTCTACCGGGCGTTCCTGTTTCCATCCAGTGGAAGAACTGTGGAAACCCAGCCTTGCTCTGG